TATAGTTCAAATAAAAGAGTACAAATTGGGTATTTTGTGTTTTATTTGGCAACAACGCATTACAATATGTTGAATATAATTTTTAAAAACATATTTATGAGGCAAAGAAACACCTATATGCGTTATAATATGAGTTTTCACTTATTACTTTCCTATCTGTATACAGATATAAGGAAAGTATAGGAATCATGATTTTTTTCGACCTCGAGTTTTCGACGGATTTTTACGTTTTGAGGTCCCCTGAATCCGTTTTGACTATTTTCGCGATGATGTCTGTGTGTGTGTGTCTGTAGGTCGCATAACTCATGAACCGATACACAGAAAAACACCAAATTTTAAACTTAAGCTTTGTTTCAGCGTCCAATGAGCTGATTAGATTTTGGGCAGAGTCGGAACATCTGGGGGGTACTTTATAGGTGGTCATTTTTATATTTTATGGAATATATCTGTTATTTACGTTTGGAGAAGAAAATTCTTCAAATAAAAGTTACTTCTTATACAGGGTGTCCTTTAAAATGTGTCCCAAAATTCTCAGGCAGATTCCTTAACCAAAAAATGGAAAAAAAGTTCCTATAGACCTATGTCCTAAAGTACCCCCTAAGCGAGCAACAGCCTCTCGAAATCATTTTTTTTATTTTGATTTTTTGAATTTTCTTAAAAATGGAAACAAATAAAAGAACCAAATTTTGGCTGTTAAATATGATCAATAATAGTGACCTTTTGACACCTTCAAAAAGAAATTATTTCGTCAGGGGTGTACTTGGGAATTTTTTGAAAATTTTGATTATTCATAACTTTTTTGTGTTTTTGGTAATGACTTATCCATATTTTTTTTTACATTCTACATTGAAAACTACGTCAAAAAGAAATACTCGTTTGATCTCGATTGGAGCAGCCGTTTCTGAGAAAACATCATCCAAAGATATTCGTCCACTTTAGCTTAATTTTCAATTTTCCTAAATTACCTCGGTGAATCTCGTAAATAAAAATAACTTTTTTAGCTCTCTCTAAATAATTGTAGTTCAAATGTCGTGGTGGGACTATTTTTATTTAATAATAAGAAACGGTTTAAAAAAATATTTATTCTAAAAAAACAAATCAAAAAAAAATTAAAGCAGATGCTCAATGTGGCGACCATTGGTTTCCACACACAAGCGCAACCGTCGCATCATAGACTGTCTTACACGAAAAAATACTTCAGGATTATTCCTAAGAACTTCGCAATGATGAAAAACTCGTTCTTCCAATTCTTCAACTGTTTCAACAGGACTGGAATAAACCAATGATTTTAAATAACCCCAAACAAAAAAATCCATTGGATTTAGATCTGGTGAACGAGGTGGCCAGTTAACAGGACAACCTCTGCCAATTACTCTACCCTCAAATCTTTCGTTAAGGTGCTGTCTAGCTTCAAGGCTGTAATGTGGTGGAGCTCCATCATGCATAAACCACATGTTATGTCTGATTTGAATCGGAATATTATCAAGAAGCTCATGTAAGTTATTTTCCAAAAAAGCCTGTATGCTGCTCCATTTAACCTATTCGGCAAAACAAATGGTCCAATAAGGTAATTATCAATAACTCCAGCCCAGACGTTTATTGAAAATTTATCCTGGTGTGACGTTCAACAACCGCGTGAGGGTTATCTTCAGCCCATTCATGCATATTTCGAAAATTTATTATACCATCTCTAGTGAAACCAGCTTCATCGGTAAATAGCACTTTATTAAGAAACATTGCATCTTGATTACATCTTCCAAGAAACCATTCAGAAAAGATAACTCGCGGCTCATAATCAGTAGCTTTAAGTGCCTGAACTTTTTGAATGTGGTAAGGGTACAATTGTTGTTCACGCAAAACTTTCCATACCGTGTTACGTCCGACTCCCACTTCTGAAATTAAATGAGAGAATCTGTGTAGTGAATAGTTAAGAAAGAGAATCCATTGATTTGGGAAATCAGATTTTTTCTGCATAACGCAACTCTTTTCGATACGAAAAGTCGTGAAATGTAAGAGAAGCAATAACAAGTAAAAAAACTAGTTTTATACGATAAGGTACGGGGTAGCTAAAATAATAAATAAGTAATTACTTACCATTTGCTATTTTTCTGGTACTTGTCGATGGGGTTTCAGCTACCCTATCCAAAATTGCTTCTTCCAAAGCAGGAGTTCTCACATAATTTTGTCTTCCACTGTTACTAGAGTTTTTCTTAAATGTACCAGTTTCCCGAAGTCTATCGTCAATTCTAGAAAACGTCTTAGCGCATGGAAGATGCCTATTTGGAAAGCGCTCCTGATAAAGTCTGCGAGCTTCATTGGCATTTCCAGAAGCGAGTCCAAAACATAAGTGCATGTCCGTCATTTCGCCGAATGTGTAATCATTATTGTAGTTATTGTGAGCCATTTTAAACAAAATAATAACAATACAACGAATCGCACCAGAACACTTTTAGAAATAATGTTTAACTGAAGAAACATTTTTATCAGTGAGCGAAAAAAATTATCCATGAAACACAAAAACGCCAAAAAAATACATATTTTTACTTTTTTATTCTAAACAGCTAAATACAAACCTTATGGTCTTCATAATAAATAAATTAGAACTAAATTTTAATTTTATTTAGAGAGCTAAAAATAGTATACAGGGTGATTGATTAGTGTGAGGAAGCTCTGTAGATCTGTTATAATAAAAGTAGGCAGCTTTAAGCTTCACATTTTAAAATTAGTTACGATGTGACAGGGTGTTTCATAAGGCCGTGCCAAATCAAAGTTATGTTTTTTAAATGGAACACCCTGTATATTTTTATATTTTTAGAATCTGCTCGATAATCTGATTTCAATGATATATCACACTTGTTATCTAATATGAATAGTAAAGGATCTACAGCTACTCAAAAATCACATTTTTTCAAATTCAGGTGGCTGTTGTAGCCAAACAGTTGGAAATCGAGGAAAACGGCTTACAGTCCCTATCCTAACTTTTTAAGGTCTATTCAGTGACATAAAATACATATTATTTGATACAGGGTGATCAAAAATCCAAAATCACATCCGATTTTTGATCACCCTGTATCAACTAATATTTTTTGCCACTGAATAGACCTTCAAAAGTAAGGATAGGGACATGTAAGCCGTGTTCCTCGATTTCCAACTTTTTGGCTACAACAGCCAAAATTGAAAATTAACCTAAACTGCACGAATATCTTTGGATGATGTTTTCTCGGAAACGGCTGCTCCAATCGAGATCAAACAAGTATTCCTTTTTGACGTAGTTTTCAATGTAGAATGTAAAAAAAAATATGGATAAGTCATTACCAAAAACACAAAAAAGTTATGAATAATCAAAATTTTCAAAAAATTCCCAAGTACACCCCTGACGAAATAATTTCTTTTTGAAGGTGTCAAAAGGTCACTATTATTGATCATATTTAACAGCCAAAATTTGGTTCTTTTATTTGTTTCCATTTTTAAGAAAATTCAAAAAATCAAAATAAAAAAATGATTTCGAGAGGCTGTTGCTCGCTTAGGGGGCACTTTAGGACATAGGTCTATAGGAACTTTTTTTCCATTTTTTGGTTAAGGAATCTGCCTGAGAATTTTGGGACACATTTTAAAGGACACCCTGTATAATTATCTATAATTTTTGTTTTATGCAAAATTTTCCTAAAATGGTCCGTATTCGAGAAATTTGACAAAATGTAAAAAAAATAATTTTTTATAAAAATTGTTCAAATAAAAGTTGTTTGTAATATAATTCTCTATAATTTTTATCCTATAAATAATTTCTCTAAAATGGACCGTATTCGAGATATTTGAGAAAATGTGTAAATTTCGAATTTTGAAGAAAACTCAAAAACGGATAAAGGAAAAAACATTAAATTTTAAACTTAAGTTTTGTTTCGACCTGAGGTGAACTGATTAGATTTTGGACAGAGTCGGAACATTTGGGGGGGTACTTTATTGGTGGTCATTTTTATATTTTATGGAATATATTCGTTATTTACGTTTGGGGAAGAAAATTCTTTAAATAAAAGTTACTTACAATATTATCTATAATTTTTGTTCTATGTCAAATTTTCCTGAAATGGTCCGTATTCGAGAAATTTGACAAAATGTGCAAAATTCTGATTTTTAAGAAAATTGTTAATCTAAAAGTTGTTTGCGATATCGATCTCTATAATTTTTGTTTTTAAATGACTTTTCTAAAATGGACCGTAATGGAAAAATTGGAGGAAAAGTGCTAAATTAAAATTTTTCAGTATTTTCGTTTTCAATGAATATCTATAGAAAAATGTTTCAAGGTAGATGTATGTGGAAAATGTATATATTTAGTTTATTCTCTAAACATTTTTAGAGATGCTGCAATAGGTTAACTAGATAGGAAAGTCATGTGTTGGACACATCAGATTTTTTTATTAGCAATGGCAAAGTAACACCAATTCGAAGGTTACTTTGCCACGATTTTAAAAAATACAAAAAATTATAAAAATTCAAAATTTATATGCAGAAGTATCTGTGACATATACATCAAAGTTCAAGACAGAAAGAAAACAACGCAAATTCTTTTACAATTTAAAGTAAAGTTGTCCATGTTTAAAATCTGGGCAAAGTAACACCGCTCTACGGTACTCTATGGACAATAATCAAGCTCTACCCCATATTATGAGCTGCCGACGTATTTTGCTATATTATTGTAAACCAACCGTTTTATATTAGAATCTTACCCTTTACAGGCTCCATTATTCTATGATTCTGAAGCGGACTGTATTCCATGGTTTTACTATTTGCCGACTTTGGGTCAACGATCGATAGAAAGAAACAAGCACACCTGCATTGAACACTGTTTATTTTACATGAAGAACACCATACCACATTTATTATTTACACTATGCACACATACTTTACTCAGCACATTTAAATATTAGAGGGTGGGTTTTTACTCAATTGTCGATGTGTCTGTTATTATAGTTGAAAAGAGTCTGAAGGACACCTTGCCGCGCACCATTACGGATCGCGCAGTCATATAACCACAGATTTTCTTTGTCTAATCTTGCTGACTTAAGTAAATGTTGCAGGGGTGGTCTAGTCATTTCCGCGATTCTGATATTTTTGTTAAGGGTATTTTTAACAGGAAGTTAAACAGTATTTACTATTCAAGATAATTTACATAATTTTATTAAAACAAATAATGAAAACGTATTTAAAATATATTTAAAATTAAATTATAAAAAGTAAGGCGTAATATTCCTACTAGGTATAACTCTTTCCGAATCAGGAACAGCTTGAAATAATTTCGCTTCGCCCTTGTCAGCAGTATTGAATTCCAAAATACTTGCTATGTTACCACATCTATAACAATAGTTGGGAGCTGACCACACTGTCACCAGCTTGTCATCAAACATATATTTATATCCTAAAAAATGAACCAAATGACTGATTTTCTACTCTAATCCATATTTAAGTAATTATTTATTATGCATTTACCTTCATGTACCAATTGATGTGCCCTACATATCAATGAGAGTGCATTTATTCTCATAAAATCATGAGTAACTTTGACCCCGAATAAATATCCTGCACCTCTAGGACTGGTAGCCCTAAAAATAAAAACAAATAATTCTATAAAAGGTTTACAAGAGAAATGTATAGAATAGAAATACAAATACATAAAATTAAGCAGACTTTTGTTGCGTACAAGTTATTTAAATACCCAGATAGCACACGTTTGGTTTGGTCTCAATGTCCTAAGACGTCTGGCAAAAGCCATAATTCAAACGTATTTATGTAAGAGCTCAAAGACGTCTTGCCAAATCCATATATTAATATGAAAGCTTAACGTCTTACAAATGTCTTTCGGTCGGACGGAAACTTGCACGATTTACATAATTCAAATTTAATAAAAAGGCCGTCGGGGCAGAAAATAAAGTCTTCTCGACTTTCTGGTCGGACGGAAGACCAAACCGTGACGTCAGGGATCGAACACATGAATTCACAAACGACGACAACACTCGCAGACACTCAACAACAACCCTAGTTTTTTATGCACTTTTCCAGGGCAAAACAGACATAACTAACACACATCATAGACAAATTCAAATCACTCACCGCTATCTAGTATAATAATTCAAAATAAGCAAATAATGTCACCAGACAAGGAGTTGCAAAGCACGCAAACTATAGTTAAGTGATTCGAATACCATTGCTTAGCGAACATCAGCCAGGACGCAGGTCCACACGGGAAGAAATTATATTTTTATTACAATGAAAAAAAATTTTTAACTGTAAATAAAGACGTTTTAAAACTAACTAAAAACTTAAAATAAAAAGATTAAAATTAAGTGAAGTTTGACGTTTAACTTAACATTACATTCATGTCCAAGTCTATCACTCACCACCCTATGCCATTTAAATTTTTCGAAAGGGTTGCTACCCTCCAGTAAGGGATGAAATTAAGGGTAAACTAATCATGCAAAAATGTACATTGTAGAAATCAAAAATCGACCTGTCTCGGCGATTTTCCTAACAAGACCCCAGTAACGAGTTAGTTAGGGGGGGGGTAAGACTTATGATGCTCACTGTATATGGTAGATAATTACCTAAGCAGAACAATATAGACAAAGTATTACGTAATCTTCCCTGCCATTGTATTTTTAACTCCATTGAACTTATTTGTGACCTTTCTAAGCAATATTATAATAAACATATTGGCAGAGAGGGAGTTTTTAATAGATTGGGAATTATTTTTATTATAATTAACTCTATTAGCGATATCGATGACTGCGATTCAAATACTTGCGATCTGGATTAGGAGAAATAAAAGAATTTTATAGGAATAATGAAGATTAGTAGATGAATAATTGTTTTTTTTATGAGAAAATAGTGTAATTAAAAAAAAAAACATTGTCTAATTTTTAAAACAATAAACAGTTTGATATATTTCTTATATATCTGTATTTTTATTTAATTTATTCCAAGATATAAAAAAAATATTTGATTGAGAATAACATTTTTCAAATGTCTTTTGAAGCTGATAGAATGGAGAATCTTGATGTTTGAGTGATGAATCTATTGTCCATACATGTTTCGATAACTTTAGAGTTATCTTTACTACTTTACTATCTTTACTAAAGCACCTACTCAAATATTTTAACAATTTCCTTCTTGTATTCAAATATTTTAGCATTTTCAAACTTTAATTCTTTAAGTATAGGTATCTACTGATATTATGAATCCTCCACTTGCCTTTGTAGTTTTCATTTTTTCAATGACCTCTTTAATTTTATAACTTAAATGCACCTAGTTCTGTTAAATAACTTTCTTGGTGAAATTAAATTAGTTTTAGATATTTTCTGTGCTAATTCTAAACTAATTTTGATCCATCTGCAATATACTACCTTACAGTTTTATTTTCCATGACTTGCATAATATGTTTAAAGCTTTTTTGTTCAGATGTTTATTATTCATAAAGGAATTCAATATTTTCCGTTAGTTATATACATTTAAAACTAATTGTTCCTACTATATAGAAACACTAGCTATTGCCCGCGACTTTGATCGCATATAGTCGTGTTATTAATATAAAAAAATAAATATTTTTTATTAGTTTTATTGATTTTCATTCATTTTTTTTTATTTTTTTATATTTATTTATTTTTATTAATTTTTATTCATTTTTATTTATTTTTATTCATTTTTATTCATTTTTATTCATTTTTATTCATTTTTATTCATTTTTATTCATTTTTATTCATTTTTATTCATTTTTATTCATTTTTATTCATTTTTATTCATTTTTATTCATTTTTATTCATTTTTATTCATTTTTATTCATTTTTATTCATTTTTATTCATTTTTATTCATTTTTATTCGTTTTTATTCATTTTTATTTATTTTTAAAAAAATGTAATAATTTTAATTAATTTTTGTTAATTTTTATTAATTTTTATTAATTTTTATTAATTTTTATTAATTTTTATTAATTTTTATTAATTTTTATTAATTTTTATTAATTTTTATTAATTTTTATTAATTTTTATTAATTTTTATTAATTTTTATTAATTTTTATTAATTTTTATTAATTTTTATTAATTTTTATTAATTTTTATTAATTTTTATTAATTTTTATTAATTTTTATTAATTTATTTTTATTAATTTTTGTTAATTTTTATTAATTTTTATTAATTTTTATTAATTTTTATTTATTAATTTTTATTAATTTTTATTAAATTTTATTAATTTTTATTAATTTTTATTAATTTTGATTAATTTTTATTATTTTTTATTATTTTTTATTAATTTTTATTAATTTTTATTAATTTTTAATAATTTTTATTAATTTTTATTAATTTTTATTAATTTTTATTAATTTTTATTAATTTTTATTAATTTTTATTAATTTTTATTAATTTTTATTAATTTTTATTAATTTTTATTAATTTTTATTAATTTTTATTAATTTTTATTAATTTTTATTAATTTTTATTAATTTTTATTAATTTTTATTAATTTTTATTAATTTTTATTAATTTTTATTAATTTTTATTAATTTTTATTAATTTTTATTAATTTTTATTAATTTTTATTAATTTTTATTAATTTTTATTAATTTTTATTAATTTTTATTAATTTTTATTAATTTTTATTAATTTTTATTAATTTTTATTAATTTTTATTAATTTTTATTAATTTTTATTAATTTTTATTAATTTTTATTAATTTTTATTAATTTTTATTAATTTTTATTAATTTTTATTAATTGTTATTAATTTTTATTAATTTTTGTTAATTTTTATTTATTTTTAATAATTTTTATTAATTTTTATTAATTTTTATTAATTTTTATTAATTTTTATTAATTTTTATTAATTTTTATTAATTTTTATTAATTTTTATTAATTTTTATTAATTTTTATTAATTTTTATTAATTTTTATTAATTTTTATTAATTTTTATTAATTTTTATTAATTTTTATTAATTTTTATTAATTTTTATTAATTTTTATTAATTTTTATTAATTTTTATTAATTTTTATTAATTTTTATTAATTTTTATTAATTTTTATTAATTTTTATTAATTTTTATTAATTGTTATTAATTTTTATTAATTTTTGTTAATTTTTATTTATTTTTAATAATTTTTATTAATTTTCACCCCCGTTTTCCCCCCTTAATATGTGAAAATCCAAAAACCATGAAACACTTCATTATTTATTTATTATGAGAACCTACAATTCCAGTTTTCAATTTCCCACCTTTAAAAAAATCGATATTTCCAAATAAACTTTCACCCCCCCCCCCCGTTCCCCCCTTAAAATGTGAAAATACAAAAACCCTAAAACACATTATTGTTAATTTGTACTCAGTAGCTGCAATTCCAATTTTCATGTTTCTAACTTTAAAGAACAAAGAGTTTCATTAAAAGCTCCCTCCCCCATTTCCCCCCTTTAAAGTTAAAATTTCCAAAAATCCTTTCTTAGTGGATGCTTACGTTATAAAATAAACGTATGTTCCAAATTTCACCTTTCTAGGCTCAGTAGTTTTGGCTGTACGCTGATAGGTCAGTCAGTCAATCAGTCAGTCAGTCAGGACAAAAAATTTTATATATATAGATAACAAATACATAACCTTACAATTTTAAAAAATTCTAAATTCCTCAACTATTCTGACGATTAGGCAACACTGCAAGACCGTGACGTCATAAATGATCTCTGATGTGCATCGAGATTTGTATTAAAAATACATACATTGCTTTTTCAAAAACATGTCAAAATTTAGACATACAGGAAATGGATTTTTGATTTTCAAAGATAGTTAAAAGTTGGAAGTTAAATTTACTAGTATGAGCAGCATTGTAAAGAGTTCTAGTTTGGGAATTGTACCAATAGATTTAATAGGATCTACATGTGACATAGCTGTGATTAGATTATATGAAATGTGATTTGAATGAAAAGGAAGAATTTGAATTTTTATGTAGTTAGTGTTAGAGGTGAATTTTTAGTTTTAATAAAATTTGTTTCCATTTGGCTAAAAATGTAGAATCAACGATAGTTAGGTCCCAAGAATATTGGGATGGCCATATATTGAATCAACTGTTTGTGTATTAATGTTAAGAGTGTGTGTCTGTATTTTGAGTAATGTAAAATTATATTGATATAGTAAAGTAAGTAGTTTAGTTTCGAGTAGGTTTAATTGTGAAATGGTATTGGAACCAGTTAGTAGTAGATTATGTAGCAAGTTTGATGCTAGAAAGTTTGAAGATTTTTGTTTATTTACTTTGTGTTTAGAATTTTATTATTAAATTTTTTCCTTTATAATTCATTAAATATAATTAAAATAAAATTGTAATTTTTGTCAGCACATACAGGTGTTCTCACCTAGGTGCTTCTTATATAATTGGTTTCCACTATTGTATTTTATTGTAACTTATAACTAACCATTAAAACTAATAGAACAACAAAGGGAGTACCACAGGGCTCAATATTGGGCCTCGTTTTATTTTTAGTTTTTATTAATGACTTAGCTCTATCTTGTACAAGTCATAGTACCAAAATTATATATGCAGATGACACAACTTTTGGAACATCAGCAAAAAATGCATCTGAACTTCAATATATTAATAATAGTGCTGCACATGAATTTTATAGTTATTATATTTCACACAGCTTAAATGTTAATGTAGAAAAATCTGAAATAATGACCTTTTTACCAAAAAATATAACGAACAACTTCAGCTATCTTCTTAAACTAAATCATCAATCATTGATACAAACAAATTCAAGCAAATTATTGTCTCTTTTTGTCCTATTGTATACTATTTTTAATTTGTACTTTATTTTAAACTCAATTGTAGCATGCCTCTAGTGTTTGAAATTGTGTGTTGACAAGACTAATAGGTATTATATGTTTATACATTTTTTAACCTCTTAAAAATTATGTAAATATGTACGGGTGTGAAGTTATCCACATCCACAAATGTACACTGAGAAAAATATAACTCTATCGTAATAGTCATATAACTTGGTTCAAATTACCTGTAGAGGCTTTTCATTTGTAGATTTCAATTGGGGAGGTTTCAATACACAGCAACCATACCCGCAATTAACTTTTGCTTTGTTTCAGGGGGTGCAATTGGGGGTGAATTTAAAAAAAATCATAGAAGCCACAAATGGCTTTGTACACCTTTCTGCTTGGGATATGTTATGTAGTTTACTCTTTTCTTCATCCCTGATACCATGCTGGAGTTTGTCGAGCCGTCTGAGGGGGTGCAATTGGGGATGAAATTAAAAAAAATCACAGAAGCCACAAATGGCTTTGTACACCTTTTTACTTGAGATATGTTATGAAGATAGCTATTTTATTTATGCCTAATACCATGCTGGAGTTTGTCGAGCCGTCTGAGGGGGTGCAATTTGGGGTGAAATTAAACAAAAAATCATAGAAGCCACAACTGGCTTTGTACACCTTTCTGCTTGGGATATGTTATGTAGTTTGCTCTTTTCTTCACCCCTGATAGCATGCTGGAGTTTGTCGAGCCGTCTGAGGGGGTACAATTGGGGATGAAATTAAAAAAAAATCACAGAAGCCACAAATGGCTTTGTACACCTTTTTATCTGAGATATGTTATGAAGATAGCTATTTTCTTTATGCCTGATACCATGCTGGAGTGTCGAGCCGTCTGAGGGGGTGCAATTTGGGGTGAAATTAAACAAAAAATCATAGAAGCCACAACTGGCTTTGTACACCTTTCTGCTTGGGATATGTTATGTAGTTTGCTCTTTTCTTCACCCCTGATAGCATGCTGGAGTTTGTCGAGCCGTCTGAGGGGGTGCAATTGGGGATGAAATTAAAAAAAATCACAGAAGCCACAAATGGCTTTGTACACTTTTTTACTTGAGATATGTTATGAAGATAGCTATTTTCTTTATGCCTGATACCATGCTGGAGTGTCGAGCCGTCTGAGGGGGTGCAATTTGGGGTGAAATTAAACAAAAAATCATAGAAGCCACAACTGGCTTTGTACACCTTTCTGCTTGGGATATGTTATGTAGTTTACTCTTTTCTTCATCCCTGATACCATGCTGGAGTTTGTCGAGCCGTCTGAGGGGGTGCAATTGGGGATGAAATTAAAAAAAATCACAGAAGCCACAAATGGCTTTGTACACCTTTTTACTTGAGATATGTTATGAAGATAGCTATTTTATTTATGCCTAATACCATGCTGGAGTTTGTCGAGCCGTCTGAGGGGGTGCAATTTGGGGTGAAATTAAACAAAAAATCATAGAAGCCACAACTGGCTTTGTACACCTTTCTGCTTGGGATATGTTATGTAGTTTGCTCTTTTCTTCACCCCTGATAGCATGCTGGAGTTTGTCGAGCCGTCTGAGGGGGTACAATTGGGGATGAAATTAAAAAAAAATCACAGAAGCCACAAATGGCTTTGTACACCTTTTTATCTGAGATATGTTATGAAGATAGCTATTTTCTTTATGCCTGATACCATGCTGGAGTGTCGAGCCGTCTGAGGGGGTGCAATTTGGGGTGAAATTAAACAAAAAATCATAGAAGCCACAACTGGCTTTGTACACCTTTCTGCTTGGGATATGTTATGTAGTTTGCTCTTTTCTTCACCCCTGATAGCATGCTGGAGTTTGTCGAGCCGTCTGAGGGGGTGCAATTGGGGATGAAATTAAAAAAAATCACAGAAGCCACAAATGGCTTTGTACACTTTTTTACTTGAGATATGTTATGAAGATAGCTATTTTCTTTATGCCTGATACCATGCTGGAGTTTGTCGAGCCGTCTGAGGGGGTGCAATTGGGGGTGAAATAAAAAAAACCATAGAAGCCACAAATGGCTTTGTACACCTTTCTGCTTGTGATATATTATCTAGTTGGCTCTTTTCTTCATAAAGATTTCTTCATAAAGATCTTTTTTGATAATTTTACGTTTTTCCTTTTTGTCAAAATTAAGAGGGCCCTTCTCGATTTTGTTTTTTATTTTTAAAATTCCAAATCATTAAGCTGTGGAAATAAAAAATATCACATCCGGAAAAAGAGAAGTGATTTTGAGCTGAAATAATAGAAATATGGACAATATGTTCTTATATAAGTTTTCCGAAATTTAAAATATATCACATAACATATCCCAAGCAGAAAGGTGTACAAAGCCATTTGTGGCTTCTATGATTTTTTGTTTAATTTGACCCCCAATTGCACCCCCTCAGACGGCTCGACAAACTCCAGCATGGTATTAGGCATAAATAAAATAGCTATCTTCATAACATATCTCAAGTAAAAAGGTGTACAAAGCCATTTGTGGCTTCTGTGATTTTTTTTTAATTTCATCCCCAATTGCACTCCCTCAGACGACTCGACAAACTCCAGCATGGTATCTGGGATGAAGAAAAGAGAAAACTACATAACATATCGCTTGCAGAAAGGTGTACAAAGCCATTTGTGGCTTCTATGATTTTTTTTATTTCACCCCCAATTGCACCCCTCAGACGGCTCGACAAACTCCAGCATGCTATCATGGATGAAAAAAAGAGAAAATTACATAACATATCCCAAGCAGAAAGGTGTACAAAGCTATTTGTGGCTTTTATGTTTTTTTTTAATTTCATCCCCAATTGCACCCCCTCATACGGCTCGACAAACTCCAGCATGGTATCAGGGATGAAGAAAAGAGTAAACTACATAACATATCCCAAGCAGAAAGGTGTACAAAGCCATTTGTGGCTTCTATGATTTTTTTTTAAATTTCACCCCCAATTGCACCCCCTGAGACAAAGCAAAAGTTAATTGCGGGTATGGTTGCTGTGTATTGAAACCTCCCCAATTGAAATCTACAAATGAAAAGCCTCTACAGGTAATTTGAACCAAGTTATATGACTATTACGATAGAGTTATATTTTTCTCAGTGTACATTTGTGGATGTGGATAACTTCACACCCGTACATATTTACATAATTTTTAAGAGGTTAAAAAATGTATAAACATATAATACCTATTAGTCTTGTCAACACACAATTTCAAACAGTAGAGGCATGCTACAATTGAGTTTAAAATAAAGTACAAATTAAAAATAGTATACAATAGGGCAAAAAGAGACAATAATTTGCTTGAATTTGTTTGTATCAATGATTGATGATTTAGTTTAACAAGATAGCTGAAGTTATTTGTTATATTTTTTGGTAGAAAGGTCATTATTTCAGATTTTTCTACATTAACATTTAAGCTGTGTGAAATACAATAACTATAACATTCATGTGCAGCATTATTAGCAATATATTGAAGTTCAGATGCATTTTTTGCTGATGTTCCAAAAGTTGTATCATCTGCATATATAATTTTGGTACTATGACTTGTACAAGATAGAGCTAAGTCATTAATAAAAACTAAAAATAAAACGGGGCCCAATATTGAGCCCTGCGGTACTCCCGTTGTTGTTCTAATAGTTTTAATGGTTAGTTATAAGTTACAATAAAGTACAATAGTGGAAACCAATTATATAATAACAAGCACCTAGGTGAGAACACCTGTATGTGCTGACAAAAATTACAATTTTATTTTAATTATATTTAACCCCCTGAGACAAAGCAAAAGTTAATTGCGGGTATGGTTGCTGTGTATTGAAACCTCCCCAATTGAAATCTACAAATGAAAAGCCTCTACAGGTAATTTGAACCAAGTTACATGACTATTATGATATAGTTATATTTTTCTCAGTGTACATTTGTGGATGTGGATAACTTCACACCTGTATCATCAATCATTGATACAAACAAATTCAAGCAAATCATTGTCTCTTTTTGCCCTATTGTATACTATTTTTAATTTGTACTTTATTTTAAACTCAATTGTAGCATGCCTCTACTGTTTGAAATTGTGTGTTGACAAGACTAATAGGTATTATATGTTTATATATTTTTTAACCTTATAAAAATTATGTAAATATGTATGTCTCAAAGCCGAATAAATATTATTATTTGTATAAAACCGTTTTCAGCCTACAGAAATAAATACCTTGGGTTAAAACTAGGCAGTGTTTAAGTGTAGCTCTTATCTATGTAAATAGTTAAAACTTGCAGACTTTAACCTGAAAACCTGTATAACATTTTGATCGCTAACAAAAGGGAACTATGAACTATTAATATTTTATAAATATTTACCAATTATCTATTTCATCCGGGTCAGACCAAACCAAATCACAAAATGCTCCCTTGTGGGGTATTTCTTGATTTCTTTCAAGTATCCTTATTTGGTCTAAAGTCTTTATATCAGGACTTAGTCCTCCATGAACACATAGAATTTTTTCATCTATTATCTGCAAAACAAATTTATTAAATGATTAATTATACTTAAACTACTATAAACACTTACAGCGGCAATGGTTAAAAAATCAAAAACACCACAGCAATATTTCCAAGCATTTACATTTCCATATTTAGTCATACATTCATCATAAAAACCATAAACTTGTGTTATTTGCCTACTTTCGTGATTTCCTCTTAACAGGGTGATCTTATTTGGATATTTAGCTTTAAGAGTAAGTAGTCTTGTAAAAGTTTCCAAACTATAGTACCCTCTATCAACAAAGTCTCCTAGAAATACATAGTTAGTATCTGGAACTTGTCCACCTTTCCGAAAAAGTTCCTCGAGATCATAAAACTAAAAAAAGAACTATTTTAATACAAAAAAATACACAAATATTACGCCTCTAACCTGTCCATGAATGTCCCCGCACACCGTTACAGGAGTAGAGACTGGCTGGACATTAGATTCTTCTACTAAAATACTGCACACTATATCACATAACTTTTTTAAATCATTTTCTGGTAAATATTTACATTGCTTTGCAATTTCTATCCAATTATCAAGTTCACTTGACATGTTTGTTTCTGATTTTTGAGAAAATGGCAAAAATGGCAGATGGCAGTTATTACTTTCAACTTGACAAATGACACCATAAAAGTGAACCCCTCCAATTGAGTTCGGCAATTCAAGTTCCTTTTCACTCCTTTTCAAATTCGAGAGAACAGATTTCACTTTATCCCTGCTAAATTGACGTAGAACATTTTGCATTAAATCATTTGATTATGTATTGATACATGATCTAATATTAAATCTTGTCCACAGAAGTAACAAACAAGTTCCGTATTTGACTTTCGATCAATGACATATATATGTCATTGCTTTCGATTAGTTTTAATTTTTACCTTCTTCTTTCAATTCATTTAAAACTTTGTACTTCTTTTTCTATTGGAACTATATGAAATATGAACCAACAGTCATATGTACAATATTGTTGACCAATCAGATTATTCCATCTACATATAAACAAACTGACGTCATAATTTTACGACTTTTGTCGTGCTTTTGTCATTGTAGTAAAAATAAAGTTATTCTGTCAGGTGAAATTCATGGCTGTATTTTTTTTTGGAAAATTATTTTATTAAGTGACATGTGCCCTTTTTTTGTGATTTTAATTTAGTAAGTACTTTAAACAGTAACGTTTTAAATGTATAAATTGATTTGTTAAACTTTTAACTAAAAGTTACATTGTCACATATTCGCGAGGTCATTGTCGATTTATGAATTATTTTAGGGGTCAATATAATCGCTAATTTCCAAAAATGGACGTAGACAACGCAGCTTCTGAAAGTCCTGTAACAGGAAATGGGGTCATAGATATTGAACAGTCCTTTTTGCAGCAATTTAGCTGCATGGGTACCACTGACAGAGATGAACTTATTCAGCAGTTACAAAAACTTCTTGGAACTCAACTAAATTACTCCACAGCAGCCTTTTTCTTGGATATGAACAATTGGTATTGTATATTTAATAAATTTACAATTCAGCTTTAATATATTTATCAATATCAGCTGTTTGTGTCAATGTTTTGACTGTTTTTCTTTATCAATTTAGAAATTAGATAATTGTACCTATTAGCAAACAACTAATGCTTTTTAAATGATATATTTAGCTCTTTCGAGACAAATGTCTTTTAGTTTTTTGTACCAGATTGTTTTAACCAGTTGCAGTACAAGTTAAATAATTGAATATGCTGTTAAAAGGTTCACACTCGCATATGCTCGTATTCAGAATCTTTGACTGGTATTGTATTGGATTTTCATTCCAACATAGTAACATACTATACTTTCTCTATAGACACAAGATTTGATTATAGTAAAATGAAACTTTGAACAAAATGAAATATTTAATCATAACTTATGTTAGGCATGTTTTTTACTTAAATCATTTACATAATTGGTCAGTTCAGGAATAATAACAAATTCCATATCAGAATTATTATGTTCACCTATTTTTTAACAACAGGGGTCCCAATATACTTCCCTGCGGAACACCTCTGATATAGTTAAATTTCCTCTGATTAAATGTTATTTACTTTTAACTTTTGTTTCCTCTTATTTAGATAATCCACACAGCACTACTATACTTTTTTATCAAATTTATATTTCTAATTAAAGTAAGGGACCCAGTAGTTGAGACCTTTAGAAACAAAAAATGAATATTGCAATATTTTTTTTTTATTTTTAACTTGAGTTAAAATTGTGTACTTTAACAGAATTATTAACATCTATATAATGGTAAACTAATAAGAAAATTTTAATTTAGTAGTTGACACTTGGTATATTCTGTAGTTGACATATATTATACAGCTACCCATCAACATTACATTTTTTGTTAATCTAAATCTCGGATTTTAATCAGTTTCTAGCACAACTCATACAGGGAAACTCTAGGTTTTCTATAATTTGAGATTTTTTAATAACACTATCATCATTTTCATTTAGCTTGAAGTGTGTTTTTGCTTCATTGCAGGCAACTAAGGCTACTACCTGATTTTCGTTATTGTTTAATACCTCCTGTATAATGCATATATGTGTTCTTTCTTCTTGCCTGGAAATGACACTAGTATGTAATTCCCTTCTTTGTACATGGAAGTCATATTATATTCCTTGTCCATTGTGTCTGTTTAAAAATTGATAATCTGGTATTGTATCATCAATCATACTAGCAATCGATTGGATGCTGTCTATGTAAAATTTATTAAGAGCATTTGGCATGTCAAAAATATTTTTTATAATAACATTATTTAGTTCAATTAAGGAGGTCCTTTCGCCACACCTCTCGCCTCAAATGTTAAAAAAAAGTTATTAGATTATGACTAAAATTAATTTTTTTCTAATAGTTGAAGTCCTTATTTATCTAATACTGAACTTTTAACTATACCTTACCTTGCAAATTTTTGAGTATTTGTCACGGTGCTTGGGAACCAACTTTAAATGAAAAGTTTATTTACTAGACTTTTTTTTCGGTCAAAGTATTTCTGAAGGACTATAGATTGGCGCAATATATTTTTTAAAATCGGTTCCAGCAGCCGTTTTTGATAAAACTCGATTTTTCATGAAAAAGTGACCTTTTTTTTTACTTTTTTGCTTGTAACTTGCGCATTTTACATTTTCTCGGCTTGCCACAAGTAAATTTCAATGGGAAAATGTCCGCTCTACAAAAAAGCATCAATGACTTTTTCTCTAAAATCAGCCGATTTTGAGTTAAATGAGATCTCAAATTTTAAACTTAAGCTTTATTCCAGCGTCTTATGAACTGATTAGATTTTGGGCAGAGTCGGAACATCTGGGGGGGTACTTTATAGGTGGTCATTTTTATATTTTATGGAATATATGTTATTTACGTTTGGAGAAGAAAATTCTTCAAATAAAAGTTACTTCTAATATAATTATCTATAATTTTTGTTCTCTACAAAATTTTCCTAAAATGGTCCGTATTCGAGAAATTTGACAAAATGTAAAAAAAAAATATTTTTTTATAAAAAATTTTAAAATAAAAGTTGTTTGTAATATAATTCTCTATAATTTTTGTTCTATACATAATTTCTCTAAAATGGACCGTATTCGAGAATTTTGAGAAAATGTGTAAATTTCGAATTTTGAAGAAAACTCAAAAACGGATAAAGAAAAAAACATTAAATTTTAAACTTAAGCTTTATTTCGGCCTGACGTGAAATGATTAGATTTTGGACAAAGTCGGAACATCTGGGGAGGTACTTTATGGGAGGCCGTTTTTATATTTTATGGAATATGTCTGTTATTTATGTTTGGAGAAGAAAATTGTTCAAATAAAAGTTACTTCTAATATTATTATCTATAATTTTTGTTTTATGTCAAAATTTCCTGAAATGGTCCGTATTCGAGAAATTTGACAAAATGTGCAAAATTCTGATTTTTATGAAAATTGTTGAACTTAAAGTTGTTTGCGATATCGATCTCTATAATTTTTGTTTATACATGATTTTTCTAAAATGGACCGTGATGGAAAAGTGTTAAATTTAAATTTTTCAGTATTTTCGTTTTCAATGAATATCTATAGAAAAATGTTTCGAGATGTATGTGGAAAATGTATATATTTAGTTTATCATCTAAACATTTATAGAGATGCTGCAATAGGTTGTACAAAATAACCGGAAAAAGCCTATAATAACTAGATAGGAAAGTCATGTGTTGGACACATCAGATTTTTTTTGGTGTATTTGTTTTTTGCAAAAATGTTGTATACTATATGAAAAAACAGTATAATTTAAAAAAAGATAACAAATGGACAAAAAAAAATTAACTCACCTTGTCATAACTTTCTTATGCAAAGAGCTATTTAAATGTTTTTTTTTTTTTCAAAACTGTGGAATTTAATTAGCTGCATTTTGTCTCAATTAATATGTGGTCTATTTTTAATAATAAAACCTGTAGCGGCTTTTAAACGTCGGGGCGAATGCCTCGGCCGTTGAATTGATAGCGGTTTTTTCCATTGTGATCGACGCTCCTCTTGTTGCACACACACTCTTGCAGTAATGTTTTATATCAAAATTTTCGTTAGTTATTTGCACTGGAGTGAAGATAAATCGTAAGTCATTAATTTTCTTCCAAAAAATTCTAGTACTTTAGAAAAATAATAGCTAGGTAATTGTGGCATAATTTTATTATATTATTAAATCAAACAAAACAAAATTAAAACAAATTATAGAAAAATGTAAAGTCAACAGGATCTTCAGTTTCAGTTGTATTAAATAATTTTGAACAGTATAACACTAGACATGTAGATTAACATGTAATTATTACGTACTATGATGAAAAATGTTGCAAAAATATAGTTTTCAATTAAATGGATAAAAATATTCGGAGAATTTTATTAACAATTAAAATATCTATACAGCAGTATGTATAAATATTGTACATGTCGATTACATTTTTGCCAGAGAAACATTTTACAATATTGTTAATAAGTACACAAATAAAAAATTACTCTAGCAAATATTAACACTGATCTCATACAAAGTATAGTAAATAGTACTAACTATTAATTCTATATATAATACAAATTTCAAAAGTATAGCAAGACTTACATTTCTAAAAATGTAAATTTAAGTTCCTTTTCAAAAAATGAAGAAGAAAATAAGAGAAAAGCCACTATGAATAATTTAGAATACACCAGTTTTTGTTTAAACATTACTATATTAACCACCACAGGTACTTTCATATTATGTATCACACTTTTTAATGGGATAAGTCGTCTGGAAGCTATTGTTTTTTAGGATTTTCAAGGACTTTCTGCTTCTTAATTTTGTGATCTGGTTTACTGGTTTGGATCTTTCTCTTTCCTTCTTGACTGTTTTTCCTTTCTGCGCATTTTTCCTGGGCATCTAATATGTACTGAGGATCTCTGATTTTCATACTTCGGGGTTGTCTTGGATCATTAATTTCTGGTAGTAGGCAATTGTAATAAAACATTTCTAATTTTTTTAACATTATATTTTTAAAAAAAGATTCATCTTTATGTACTTTCAGGCACACAAAATCGTGTAACGTCCATACTACAAAGTAACAGGTCGTTTTTTCCCAGATATTGAGTTGCCCTTGAACTTGATAAAAATAATTATGATAATAATTAATAATAAAAAGAAAACGCATCAAATTTTAATTTTCTTAACACCCTATATTTCGAAAACAAAGCGACATTCTAAAAAATGTTATAGTACATTTTTGTCTTAAAATTAGGTGAGAATTCTCCTCCTTTCTTTTGTCAGAGATTAGAAAACACCCTGTATATAAGAAGTTAAGTATAGGATGTATAAAAATACATTATAAAATTAATTAAAAATATACAGGATTTTCTCTAAAACGATACCAGAACAAAGTTATGTTTTTTTTTAATTGATATTTTTACTTTCCTATCTGTATACAGATATAAGGAAAGTATAGGAATCATGATTTTTTTCGACCTCGAGTTTTCGACGGATTTTTACGTTTTGAGGTCCCCTGAATCCGTTTTGACTATTTTCGCGATGATGTCTGTGTGTGTGTGTGTGTGTGTGTGTGTGTGTGTGTGTGTGTGTGTGTGTGTGTGTGTGTGTGTGTGTGTGTGTCTGTGTGTGTGTGTGTGTGTCTGTGTGTGTGTCTGTATAACGCATAACTCATGAACCGATACACGGAAAAACACCAAATTTCAAACTTAAGCTTTGTTCCAACGTCTAATGAGCTGATTAGATTTTGGGCAGAGTCGGAACATCTGGGGGGGTACTTTATAGGTGGTCATTTTTATATTTTATGGAATATATCTGTTATTTACGTTTGGGGAAGAAAATTCTTTAAATGAAAGTTACTTCTTATTTTATTATCTATAATTTTTGTTATATACAAAATTTTCCTAAAATGGTCCGTATTCGCGAAATTTGACAAAATGTAAAAAAATATTTTTTTTTATAAAAATTGTTCAAACAAAAGTTGTTTGTAA